CTGGGCTCAGCTCCATCATTTACCTGCAAGTGCTGTAGTCTGGCTCGTGGAAGACCCCCAGAAGTCACTCCTCACCTGTCATGTTCTCCCTCAGCAATTCTACCTCCCGTATATCTCTAGACCTGCTTTTCTAAGTAATCCACAGCTCCCCATGCCTGCAAATTCCACCAGCCGGTCTTTCAGCAGTCCTTGGCAGCCTCGGGTCCTGCCTGCCTATCCAGGGAACATGCACACTCACAAAGTATCCCCAGACCCTATCTGCCATATCGTTTAAAAAATTATAATATGTGACTATGCTGGCACACTGGTATAATTTACACAAAGATGGCATTAACCAGGCCCAGGATGTTCATTAGCTACTGGCTGCTTGTCTCCCAGCAGTGTGCCACTTGCCTAGGTACAATGCAACCTAAGCAGTTGCCTCCAGCTGGAGTTCCTTTTTCTTTTGATGACACAATTGGAGTATATTTTTGCAGGTAACTTGTAATTTGGTGTGGCCATGTAGTTCATTATGGCTATGGAATATTGGGAGAAATGACATATTCATACTTGGTGTTTACTCCCCAAATTCTTGCAAGATTGGGGCTGGACTAAAGTCAAAGCCAGGCACCAGGAGCTCAGTTTAGGTATCCTACAGTGGGATAATTTTAAGGGCTATTTTGTATTAAGGTTCTCATTGATTATATTTTTGTTTCAGCAGATTGAATTATTTCATCTTATTCCTGAACTCTCGTACCTGGAGAGAAATCAGCTGCTAATAAAACAACTCATGCCTTGCATGTGAAGTACTGCTTCTCTCCTGCTGCCCTAGGATTATCACTCTCTGTCTTTTTGCACTGCAGTTTTTCCTGCATTAATGTGGATCTCTGTGATGTCTTTCTACATGACATATGTTGAGCTTCCCAGATGTACAAATTCATATATTTTATCAAATTTTGGAAGAATTGAGTAATTTCCTTAAATATTCTTTCCATTCATCTCTTTTACCTGCTGCTGAGTCATTTTAGTGGAATATTTCAGTTATTGTACTTTTTAAGTCAACAAATTCTGCTTTATTCCTTTTTCTAAAAGTTTACTTTTATTGGGAAGGCAGATTTTATAGAAAGGAACAGAGATAGAAAGTTCTTTCATTGGCTCGCTCATTCCCCAAATAGCCATAATGGTCACAGCTGAGCTGACCCCAAACCAGGAGCCAGAAGCCTCCTCTGAGTCTCCCACATGGGTGCAGAATTCCAAGCATCTGGGAGTCTAACCAGCATCCACATGGGATGCCAGTGCTTCCGGCAGCTAATTAGCCTCATAAGCCACCGTACTGGCCTCACCCCACTGCTTGTGTATTTGAATATCTCCTATTTTTCATTTAAACCTGGAAATTTTTATGTTATGGAGTATCAGTTCTGGAAATCATATTGCCTCATTCCAGATGCTATGATGTGAATATCTCCCAAACTTCATGTTTTGAAATGACTCACCCATGTGGTAGTATTAAGAGGTGGATTGGTCAGATTGTTATCCATGAGGATGGAGCCCTTCACAGTGGAATTAGTGACTGTACGAAAGTGTTGAAGGAAACCAGCAGAACTGGAGATCTGTCTGTGTCTCTTCTCTGCCTTTCAAATAAAGAAAATAAAAACAAATATCTTGGGCCCGGCGCGGTGGCGCAAGAGGTTAAAGGTCCTCGCCTTGCACGCCCGGGATCCCATATGGGCGCCGGTTCTAATCCCGGCAGCCCTGCTTCCCTTCCAGCTCCCTGCCTGTGGCCCGGGAAAGCAGTCGAGGACGGCCCAAAGCTTTGGGACCCTGCACCCGCGTGGGAGACCCGGAAGAGGCTCCTGGCTTCGGATCGGCATAGCATCGGCCGTTGCGCTCACTTGGGGAGTGAATCATCGGACGGAAGATCTTCCTCTCTGTCTCTCCTCTCTGTATATCCGCCTTTCCAATAAAAAAAATAATAAAAATAAATCTTTAAAAAAAAAAACAAATATCTTATGTGTGCCATGTTTATCACCTAACCAAAACATAATTAACTCATAAGACATCTCTTGGATTTAAAAATAGCTTTATTTAGCATACCAAAAAACACAGAAACGTAAGAAAACCATACCTAGTATAAACATAAAAGTTAAATACTATAAATTTAATGTAAACCAAGCATTTGAATTGTGAAATACTATAATAAAATGCATGCTATTTTTTATGGAACCAAGTTAAAGCTACCTCCATAGTTACTGGATCAGATCATCAAGCTTGAAGATATCATCATTAGCAATGAAAAACACAACACCTTTATTCGTATTGGTCAATAGGGAAAGGGTATGTCATTTTATTTACTTTAAACAAATACAATTTATTGAGACATTTAGAGTATAGAAGCAAAGCTGCCAATTCTAGCATTCAAGATACAACCACTGCAGGTGAAAGCTTCTAAATCACACTGTGGGAACAGCTGAGCCCATTCTTTTATTTACATGAAAACCCACTGATTCAATTTAGTTAACTACTTAATAAAGATAGTAGATATTTTGCAAAAAATAAACCTTTATTAAAAATTACCAAAAGTGAATATAATGTCAGTCAGTTAGGAAAGACAAAGCATAAAAAATACATATTATTCCAGAGAAACCCCTTAATTATAACAAATGTTAGGAAACTCAGTTTATAAAATCAGAGGGGATAGTAAAAGGTATTTTAAAAATATAAAACCCAAACCACATTCAAACAAAGCAACCAAACCTAAGATGATAAGCCTCCATAAAGTGGTATTTTGCTTATCCTGTCATCACGTGAAAGCCACCATGAGATCTTTAGCTGATCTGTAACTGATGGAGCTATTACTATCTAAAAAGCTGTGGTCATTCATTGGTTTAAACATTTGGCTTTTTTTATTTAATGCTTATTGCGTTAAGGATCAGCATTCATCCTTACACTTTAATTCATAAATCTCTAAGAGACGGCATTGAATCCAATATTAGAAGTTTAAAACGTACAATAAAATTGCAAGAACAGATATTTAGTAATAGAATATCCTGCTCCTTTGTCTAATCTTATAGTAATCAAACTTTTGAGCTTGGGACTCCATTACACTCTTAGAATTTATGGGGATCTGGAAGTCAACTTGCTTCTCAGATTTATACCTCACTATTTAAAAGATTAAAAATTAAATGAAAAAATGATGTATTAATCCATTAAAAATAACAAACCCATTACATGCTAACATAAATAAATAACATTTTGTGAAAAAAGCTCTAGTTTATAAAACTGAAAAAAAGTGTGTTGGAAGATGACATGATTTTACATTTTCAACTCTTTTTGAGAGATCAAGAGTGAAAAGACAAATAATATCTTCATATTATGAAAATATTTTGATGTTACAAATCCTCCGAGAAGCTCTCAAGGAACCGCATTAATGATTAAAAGTTAGCACAAAAGGGGCCTTAAGAAAAAGGAAGCCCTAACTTTCCTTTAAAAATAAACCAAAGATCTCACCTATACAAGTCATTGTGTCAAACACTCCCACCTCTTGCATTAACTAGAAACCAAACATTGCCATGTACTCACGGCCAAATTCAGAACAATAGTATAATTTCTGAGGTCAATGTCAAGCTCTAATCATGTTTAGTTCAAGGAAGCTATAAAACCTATTAAGTACAAAGACTTCAGTTCCCTTTCTGACATTTGCTTAACCTGTTCATGCTAAATTGGCCATTATCTTTAAGTTGGCACTGCTTTGGCATAGACTAGAGTATGGCAGGGTTTAACTAAAACTGCATACATTCAGACCAGGGATATGTTAGTCAGTGATGGAACACCTGCTCTATTTCTCCCTATGTGAAAGATTTGATAATTTTTAGAGAAAAGGAGGGAGAAAATTCTCCCTTCAGCACAGTAATAATGCTAAGATCTTTTACCTAAGATAACTCTTCACATTTTACAAATGGCTTGCACACACACCATCTCTCTTTATCCTTTTGAAACCCCCAGGGAAGATCAGGACAAATAATACTATCCCTGTTTCTACAATGAGGAATCTGAGGATCAGACAAGGGGTCTTGTCCAAGGTAGCATGGCAAGTATATGGCAGAGGGGATTAAAATTTAGGTTCTCTTACTGGTAGTTTAGGATTCCTTGCAGCATTCCCCCCTTCCTTTGATTTGGGGGCAGAATTAAGGGAGGAGTCAGTGGGGATTGAGTGGAGGCATCGCAATGGCACATTCAAAGTTATATCCCTTCTGCTGCATCAACTAATATTTCATTTTGCTTTACCTTTAAAATTTTTCGTTTAGTTAGTTGAAAGGCAGAAAGACAGAGAAGGAGTGACACAGATCTTTCATTTGCTGAGTCCCTAAATGACTCAAAAAGCCAGGACTGGGCCAGGCCAAAGCCAGGAACTCACTCCAGATCTCTAGTGTGGGTGACAGGGACCCAAGTACTTGGGGCATCACTTGCCTCCTCCCAAGTACATTATGAGGAAGCTGGGTTGAAAGCAAGTATTAGGGACTTGAACCAGAACTCCCAAATGGGGTATGTGTCCCAGGTGGCGGCTTAATCAGCTGCACAACAATGCCAACCACCACATTAGCTATTGTATCCAATGCAGACAAGGTTTAGCAGTAGCAAAGATATTTCTGTGAATTAATCTAATAAATTTGCCATCAGTGCATACATAATAGAACTTCATGAAATAACTACCTAGCCACTTTATGCAGACAGTTTATACACATCCTATTCCCTCTTCTCCAAGAGAAAAATAAAAACCCTGCAGTTTAAAAAAAAAAAGCTTAATGAAACTGCCAAACAAAATAGAGTGAATAATGAAATGTACACAAGGCTACAACAAGATTTAGTATACATACTTGTTACAACACACACTTTGCAATTTCTTCCACGAATTGATGAAAATTACAAAAATCACAGTTCATAATTTAGTGAAAAATTGTCTCCTAATAAGCTCTTAGGCAAAAAACTTCAGCCTGTATAAAAAACATTATCAAAATAATTTCCAAAAAAACTTATTTTAACTCTTAGGTGCTTGAAGATTCTGTCGTGGTAGGAAAGAGACTATGTAGAATAAAAGAATACACAGGAAGAAGAAAATAATTATTGCTACTCGTCAGCAAATCAGTAAGTAATTGTTATCTAGTGTCTGTCATTAGTACAGATGTCTACTTTACACATTTTGTCACCAGGAAAATCATCCAAAGTTATTCATACAAATAGCACAAAACATTCAGGGATGCTAAGCAAAGTATTTAATTTGGAGAGCGGGGGTCAATAACAATAGCAACAACAACAACCAAAAACCCTAGTATAAAGTGAATCAAATGCCACTAACAACTAAGCATTTTTCTTGCTGCACATTATAAACAAATTATTGCTTCTCATGTACACATATACTCTCTCGATTTTTGAGATGTATATAAAATTCAGAACTATTCCATGAATTATCTGGGTTTAAAGACAGATGAAAAAATGTTAACAAAAGCCAGCAAGAGTCTTTAAAACATATATATATATATCTCCTTTTTGCAGAATTCTACAGAAAGTTACTGGCTATCTTACACCAACTGTGTGCCCTTTATGTCTAATTTTAGTGAGTAATACTGTCTTTTATGAATGATTAAGAAAGAAGTTAATGGATTTTTTTAAGACAGTTGCATAATATACTGTGTTGATATACACATATTAGATATGCATATACATACACACAGATACATGCATCTCATCATCACAGCACATGATGACTCCCACCCCTTGGTGTGTTTTTCCCTCTTCACATGTTTCCTTTGGCAAAAACGAGTAGATAAAGATTTTTAACAGGAAACAGAACTAAAGAAAACCAAACTAGAAAGTATGAAGTGGTATGCTTTAGGAATCCAATGAAATAACTCAATGCATGTTTATGTAGTGGTAAAGTGCTACAAAGTCCTTTCATTAGTAATTTAAAAACAGAGTACAAAGAAATCTGTAGTTTCATTTGATGGTGTTGACCACAGGCACCATAGCAATGGCACTGGCTGAAGTGGAGTTGACTATGTCCTCATACTCCGGGGGTGGGTCTAGATGAGGTTCTGTTTCACTTCTCCGCAGGTTCGTCTGGCCAGTCGCTTCTTCATAGGTAGGTGGGGGATCGCAGTTGGACAGGCGAGTGGAGACGGAATCTGAACGACCAACCACATATTCTAGAAAGCCTGGAGACAATCCACTGCTGTCAAACACTTCGTCTGGTGGAGGAGGTGGAGTGATAATATTGAGGTGCTGAGGGAAAGGGATGTGGCCTTCGGTCACTGTTTGTCTACGAGTTTTGTTTTTTAGGAAGCATCTCCAGATTAGGAAAACAACAAGGAGGATAATGAAGAGACCAAAGATTAGTGGAAAAGTAAGATAAAATTGAAACCAGTCACTTCCTCTGCTGCTCTCTCCTTGCTGTGCTTTTGTGTAGGTGCTCCAAAATTCTTTCTGAAAACACAAGACAAACCAAAAATCAGTGCAGTCAAAGGCAAGCAATGTCAAGTGCATGGACATCCACATTGAATGAACACTATAACCAAACAAAAAACCAGATCTGCCAGTTCAAGCAACTGACCAATAGGGTTACATCAGAATAAACCCACTCTGGAACTAGATCTCCTCTAAAATTTCATTATTACGCCAACATTTTGTGATTCTAATATGAACTGGCACATCCTATACTAATTATTGTAGTACTTACTAAAGTTTGGGTATTTATTCATAATTTTACCCTAAAAAGCAGATGAAAATACGCAAGTTTCAATATTAAAATAAGCCAAAAAATAGAAACAAGATTATTCCAGGTACAGCCTTTTTTTCAGGACAATACCAAAACCTCGAAATCATCAAATGACTCATTTGCTTTAGCAGCATTAAAAATATAACCACAAGTACAAAATAATGAAGTATAGATACACGAATCTTTTAAAATAAATTTACTTTAAAAATTATATACTATTAACATTTGGGTATTTATCAATTTTAAGACTGACAACTTTAATGATTTGTGATTATCTGAAGTTTTAATTATAATAAAATTTAAAATTAAAAACATTTTCATTATATAAAACTTAAGTAATAGCAAATAGCTAAAAAAAGCAAACCGCCTGTAATTTCATCACAAAGACATAAGCACTGGGGGCTATCATGGTGGCATATCAGGCCTGTGGCACCAGCATCCCATAAGGATGCCAGTTTGTGCCCCAGCTGCTCCACTTCTGATCCAGCTTCCTGCTAATGGTCTGGGAAAGCAGTGGAGGATGACCCAAGACCTTGGAACTCTGCACCCATATGTGATACCTGGAAGAAGCTCCTGGCTCCCAGCTTCAGATCAGCCCAGTTCTGGCCATTGTGATAATCTAGGGAGTTAATCAGCAGATAAAAGATCTCTTTCTCCCTCTCTGACTCTGTCTTCGCCCCTCTCCATAACTCTGATTTTCAAGTAAAATAAATACATCTTTAAAAAGAAAAAATAAGATATAAGCAATATTAACATTTTTGTTTACATCATTTAGAAAATATTTTATAGGCCTGCATTGTGGCACAGCATGCAGTGCCTGCATTCCAAATGAGTTGTGGTTCAAATACCAATTGCTCCATTTTGGATCCAGCTCCCTGTCAATGCACCTGGGAAAACAGCAGAAGAGGGGCCTGCCATCCATGTGGGAAAATGTAGGCCCTGGTCTCTCAAGGGTTAACTCCACAGCTTAGCTTGTTTCTCAAGGTGTAACAGGATGGGCAATCTTGGCCTGATACACTTAGCCCCAGGCTTGACTGCAAGTTCCCTCCTTCCTGCTTCCCCTTTTCATATGCCCTCCAGGGAGCTTAGGTGTTGCTTGAGCATTGGGAAAGTGCTGGAAGGGGCCAACCAGACTATAAAGATGCAGCTTGACTTTGAATAAACTGGCATTCTCTTCACAAGAATGATCCACTGTGTGTTGTCTGTTTTGTCTGTCTCATAACCCTAGTCCCTCCGCTCGGCTTGGGGTACACGGCGACGCAGGCGTTGCCCACAGGAAACTAGATGCAGTCTAGACTCCTGACATCATTTTGGCCTAGATCATTTTGGCCTAGCCATTTAGGGAGAAAACCAGTGAATGTAAATGCTCTCTCTCTCTTTCTGTAACTCTACCTTTCAAATAAACAAATCTTTTCTTAAAAATTAGAAAACGTTATAGTATTTCTACTATGTTTTTAATAATTACAGTTGTACCTCTACGTATATGCTGACCCTTTCAAATTTGGAATCAAATTGCAGTAATTACAATAAAGGTGTTAATCATCCACTCATCCACTTAGAGATTTATGAAATTTCTGCTTCATAGTCAATTTTCCTTTATCTCTAACTGAGATTTCACCCTGTTTCTTTCCAGTCCCTCAAATCCCCTTTTCCTCCACTTCATTTTACCTACAAATGCCAATAAATATGTGCTTTAGCAACTATGTACTGCTAATCCTGAGTAAATACAATAAAAAGGGACTCTAATAATTGCCCATTTTACTTCAGGATGATCAAGTATTAAAAGGCACAGAAGGAACATGCTACAGTACAGTGAGTTAAGCTGCCATCTACAGTGCCTGTATCACCTATGGCAACTCCACGTTGGATCCAGCTCCTGAGAAAGCAGTGAAAAATGGCCCAAGAGCTTAGGCCCCTGTCACCCTTGTGTTAGACGTAGCTGGAGTTACAAACTCCTGGCTTCTGCCTGGCTCAGTCCTGGCTATTGTGGCCGTTTAAAAATAAAACCATTTAAAAATAAAAAATAAAACTTAAAAAAATAAACCCCATAACAATGAGGCTTTTGTGTTGTTTATTTGTCTAATTTATTTTTCTCCAGTTTCCCTGATATGATGCGAAATAAAAATCTGTAGTAAATCTTTTTAGAAAAAAAATTACAAAAATAATGATTTTGACGGTAGAAAAGCAAAGCCCAAGTAAAACTTCCGTATCTTATTTTGCATGTAGTAATTCTACAAATCCTCATTACAACAAAACTGCAATTATTATTTTCACCAATTTTCTTTATTATTATTATTTTTTTTTTATTGGAAAGGTGGATATACAGAGAGGAGAGACAGAGAGGAAGATCTTCCATCCGATGATTCACTCCCCAAGTGAGCGCAACGGCTGATGCTATGCCGATCCGAAGCCTGGAGACTCTTCCGGGTCTCCCACGCGGGTGCAGGGTCCCAAGACTTTGGGCTGTCCTCGACTGCTTTCCCGGGCCACAGGCAGGGAGCTGGAAGGGAAGCGGGGCTGCTGGGATAGAATCAGCGCCCATATGGGAACCCGGGTGTGCAAGGCGAGGACCTTAACCACTGCGCCACTGCGCCGGGCCCTGTCACCAATTTTCATATGAGAAAACAGAGGCTGACGTGGTTACCTAATTCATTCAACAGGCAAATTTTGCTGCTGGGGTTCAAGCCCTAGAGGCCTGGTATAATCTAAAAAGCAATGTGTCTTGAGGAGTAAGATATTTAAACTCTATGGCAATGTTCCTAGAAAATTCAGTCTTTCAAGGATTGGATCTGTGGTGCAGTAGTTTAAACCACAGCCTGTAGCACCAGGGTGACATTTTAAGTCCTGGCTCCACCATTTCTGATCCAGCCACCTGCAAATGTTCTGGGGAAACCAGCAGAAATGGTTAAAGAATTTGCACTTGTGTACCCACAGGAAAGACTCAGGTGGAATTCTAGGCTGCTAGCTTCAGGTTGGCTCAGCTTTTACCCTTGCAGGAATGTGGAAAATAAACCAGAAAATAGAAGCTTCCTCTCACTTGCTTTGCCTGTGTTTGTGTGTGTGTGTTTCCCCACTTTCAATTCCTTTGTGGATCTGCCATTAAGTAGCAATAAATAACACAAAAATCCTTAGGCAATAAAAGAATTAATGGTAAATTTCAAGAGTTTGGTTCAGATGTGTGTGAGTGGGAGACTGAATATATTTAAGCATCAGCACTATTTCACAGCACCAAAAGTTAGCCAAGGGCCAGCAGTGATTTAACACTTCACAGTGGGCACACTCATGAGCTGGGGACTTGTCAAAGTGCAAATTCTAATTACTTGGCTCTAGGAGGGGGCTTCAGATTTTGTATTTCTAAGAAGCTCTCAAGTTCCAACTGATGCTGCTAGTCCACAGCCCACACTGAGCAGCGAAATGCTAGCCCTGGTTTTCAATCCAGGGATGCCCAGCTCCTGCCCGCCCTGGAGACTGAGTATGTGCTGGGGGATGGGCCTGGGCAGGTGAGAGGCTCTGCAGGTGGCTGTGTCCTGCAGCAGCCAGGAGAGCCTCCTGCTGAAGCTCCTGTGGTCTCGGCTCTTCCCTTCTGCTGGTGCAGCTCCCTCAGGTTGAACATCTTGCTCATACACCCGCCCATGTCACCAGGGCCAGGACTTCCTCCTTCGGCTTCTGGGCATCTCTGAAGCTTGGGAGGAAGTCCAGGATGTAAACAGGAGGCACAGGCCACCTGGCTTTGGGAGGAAGCAGCACCAAGTGTTTGAGAGGACGATTTCAAAGAAAAGCTGGTTGACACAGAAGGGACGCAGGTAACTGGAAGCTGTCACAGCAACATTTCCCTCCAGTCCTGGGTCTGAGAAAGGGGACAGTGCAAACAACCATCTACTCTCCTGAGTCCCAGCTGCACCTGACAGCCAAAGCCACTGGGAAGGCTGTTTCCTTCTCTGCTAGCATGCAGGGTGACAGGGCTGGTAGAAATGCAACAGAGACCTCCAGTGGCAAATTATAGGCATGAACTCTTTTCCTGAAACCATAAGTCCCACAGAGAAACTTGGAGCTCATTGGATGTTGGAGATGGTGATGACGATGATGATGATGATGATGATGATGATGATAGACACAGCTAGCACCATGTACTCCCATGAGTCAGGTATGGCTCGAGGTGACTTACAGAAATTCACTCATTTGATGTCATTGAATAATGTCATTTAACATAATGAGGTTGATGTCTTGATTATCCTGTCTCCCAAATAAACAAGTGCAAAGTTCAACAATTTGCCCGATCTCATACAAGATGATTGACTAAACTGAGATTTGAATCCAGACAATCTGAGGTGAAGAGATCAGCACAGCAAACATCTCTCTGAAATAGGAAAGGAAGGAGGCTCCTCAGTGAGCTCATAGTTTCAAGCTCTGAAAAATATGAGGCTAATTTAAAGTTTTTGTGGAAAATTGGAATTAAAGCATAGGTTTAGGGCCCTGTGTGGTGGCCTAGCGAGTAAAGTCCTCGCCTTGAACATGTCAGGATCCCATATGGGTGCTGGTTCTAATCCCGGCAGCTCCATGTCACATCCAGCTCCCTGCTTGTGGCCTGGGAAGCAGTCGAGGACGGCCCAAAGTTTTGGGACTCTGTACCCACGTGGGAGACCCAGAAGAGCTCCTGGCTCCTGGTTTTGGATCAGTTCAACACTAACCACTGCGGTCACTTGGGGAG